AGACCTACAAGCAATGCTACAATCCATGCAAGAGGTTATACTGAGAAATCATGAGGATTTAAAAAAAGAAATAGGTGAAATAAGGAATGATACTGGAGAACTTAAAGAGAAGATAGGAGCAATGGACGGAAAATTTGAATGTTTCCAACAACAGATATTGAAAAATGAACAGAAATTATTAGAAATGGAGGACAGAATGCAAAAGATGCTTTTTCACAAGGCAACTGGACTTTGTTTTTCTTTGAAGACGTTTCGCTTCTCATCCAAGAAGCTTCTTCAGCTCTCATGCAAATGAGTGTAGATAAATGGGTGCCAGTCTGGTGGGAAGGTAAGAGCATTCCTTGCCCCTCGGCATATAGTCATGCTGGCCACATAACCACAGAAGTGTATTTGGACACAACGCTGGCTCCCTCAGCTAAGAAACGGAGATAAGCCTCATCCCCTAGAGTCAGACACGACTGGACAGGGGAAATCTTTACCTTAACCTTTATAGTAAATATCTTCTGAAAAGTAAAATACCTTCTAAGTATTTTATATACAGGGAGTCCTTGCCAAAGGACCACGACTGAGTCCAAAATGTTTATTGCTAAGCAATTCAGTTCTTCGGTGAGCTTTGTCCCATTTTACGACCTTTTGCCACAATTGTTAAGTGAATCATCTGGTCATTAAGTGAATGTGGCTTGCTTGTCAGAGGAAAGTTACAAATGGTGATCATGTGGCCCCAGGACAGTGCAACTGTCATAATTACATGCCAGATACCAAGCACCCGAATTTTGATCACGTGTCTGTAGGAATGCGGTGATGGTCCTAAGTGGAAAACCGGTCATAAGTCACTTTTTTCAGAGGCCACTGTAACTTCAGTTACTAAACAATCTATATAAATAAAAATGTAAATGTTCGTTTGTTCAAAATCTTAAATCTCCGAAAGTTCTTCACCGATTGCTTTGAAATTTTGACACAACGTTGCATTCGAATACGCATGTGTTTTTATATACCTACTATTATATAGATGTCACACCTGTGACAGGTAAAAACATGCTTTTCCATTTAACCAGACTGAGCCACAGAAACGTGTGGCCGGGTATTTATATACCTACTATTATATAGATGTCACACCTGTGACAGGTAAAAACATGCTTTTCCATTTAACCAGACTGAGCCACAGAAACGTGTGGCCGGGTACAGCTAGTGATTTATATAAAATTCAGCTCTTTCCCCTCAACCTCCCACTTTGAATGGGAAGAGGCTGCCAATATAGGCTGCACTCCATGTATTTTTATGGCTCTGAGATGTAGAACAAGGGAGGGAGAGGTTCATATGAACAATATTTGTATGGTTACTATGAAAACAGTTGTTTTCTGGAGTACTTCAAAGGGGCCTTCCACTAGTGATGCTGTGAAGTGCAAATAACCAGGAGCATTCTTTGAGTTTATTTTCACTGAGTTTATTTAAGCCCAGAAGAGTTTATTATTGCTACCACTAGTGCAAGAATCATGTCAACTAACGGTCAAAACTAAATTGGTGCTTTGTTATTGGAATGCCACCTTGAGGTTATTTTGTAGTTATCCCAAAGGTGCTTTTTCAGAAGGCAACTGGACTTTGTTTTTCTTTGAAGATGTTTCAGTTCTCATTGAAGAAGCTTCTTCAGGTCTGACTGGATTGTGGGGAATGGAAGGATTTATATTCCTTGCAGACAGCTGGTCATTTGCATTCTTTTAGAGAGTCGTTGAGGCCACTTGGAGGTTTATCTGTGTCCTAAAGGTCACCTTTGTAGTGCAAATGTGTGTGGAGCCTTCTTGGCTGCAGGATGTTTTCTACCTTGTTCTTGTAGTCTGCAAAATGTCCATAGACAGTTTGTAGTTATCTTAAGATACAGGAGGACCTGGACAGACTTGAACACTGGGCGCTATCTAACAAAATGAAATTCAATGATGAGAAAAGTAAGGTTCTACATTTAGGCAAGAAAAACCAAATGTACAGGTATAGTATAGGGGGTACCTTGCTCAATAGTAGTAACTGTGAGAGGGATCTCGGAGTCCTAGTGGACAATCACTTAAATATGAGCCAGCAGTGTGCTGCAGCTGCCAAAAAAGCCAACACAGTGCTAGGCTGCATTAACAGAGGGATAGAATCAAGATCACGTGAAGTATTAATACCACTTTACAATGCCCCTTAGTAAGGCCACACTTGGAATACTGCATCCAGTTTTGGTCACCACATGTTGAGACTCTAGAAAGAGTACAGAGAAGAGCAACAAAGATGATTAGGGGACTGGAGGCTAAAATATATGAGGAACGGTTGCTGGAATTGGGTATGTCTAGTTTAACGAAGAGAAGGACGAGGGGGGACATGATAGCAGTGTTCCAATATCTCAGGGGCTGCCACAAAGAGGAGGGAGTCAAACTATTCTCCAAAGCGCCTGAGGGCAAGACAAGAAGCAACGGATGGAAACTAATCAAGGAGAGAAGCAACCTAGAACTAAGGAGAAACTTCCTGACAGTTAGAACAATTAACCAATGGAACAACCTGCCTCCAGAAGTGGTGAATGCTCCAACACTGGAAGTTTTGAAGAAGAGACTGGACAGCCATTTGTCTGAAATGGTGTAGGGTTCCTGCCTGAGCAGGGGGTTGGACTAGATGACCTCCAAGGTCCCTTCCAACTTTATTATTATTATTATTATTATTATTATTATTATTATTATTATTATTATTATTATTATTATTATTATTATTATTATTATTATCCAAATTAAATGAAATCAATGAATAAATCTGGCTGATGAACAGGTCTGTTTGCAAGTCACCTGTGTATAGCTCAATCTGTTAGTCTACTCAGCACACACTTTATGGGCTTGTTGTGTGGTATTTTGGCAAATGCTTTTTGTTTTTGTAAAATCAAAACATATGTATGTAGAACATTTCCACATTCTGCAAAGTAAGTTCCTTGAATGAGGTAAAATTTATCTGCAAATTCTGTGGTGACTGAAGAAGGAAAATTGTACATGTGCGACAGCAGAGGAGAGTCTCAGATCATTATCCAAATCAGTAAGCAAATGAAGACATCCATGCATACAAACACACAATCAAGTGTTCTTACTGAGAACTAAAGCATCTCAGCTTGATCCTTAATAGTTTAGAGAGTCCTCTATCATGACCCAGCACAGATAATGGCATCAAGCTTGCTTGCTCTCCATAAATATTCATGTGTTAAGCAAGATCAGTTAAATCTCTGTTCCTGAAATATCTCTGCAAAAGAAACCTGAAAAGCAGAACATTCCCTAACATTGGAACAGCTTGCCTCCAGAAATCGTGGGCACTGAAGATTTTTAAGAAGAGACTGGACAGCCATTTGTCCGAAATGGTATAGGGTTTCCTGCCTGAGCAGGGGGTTGGACTAGATGACCTCCAAGGTCCCTTCCAACTTTACTATTATTACTATTATTATTATTATTACCTCCAAGGTCCCTTCCAGTTCTATTGTATTCCCTGAGAAATCCAATGCCCTAAAGTCATCTGAGGTGGAAAAAGGGTTAATATACATAAATTACAGAATAAAGCAAGTGGGAGGTTCTGACTTTTTTCACTTCCTCTTTCGGTTCCCTGGCGTAATGAAACTACCAGTAGACAGCAAAACTCACAGCAGAAATTCCAAGGGAAACGTTTTGGGGAAGAGGGGAAAGAAATCAGACAGGAAAGGAGAAGAGACTTGGGAACTGGAGTGTCTTGGAGTCTCAACCCCAGTTTAGAGCTTCGTTACTGAAAGTAATCAAAGGAACAAGGTCTTGGAAAGAGGTAAAGCAGGAATCTTGAAACGTCCCTATTCAAGATCTCCCATCCAGTCAGACATGGATGTTGGATGTTACCTGAAACGGATTGGATTCCAAGGTGTCTCTACCTGCCCTTCTTTGGAGACCCTCAAGTGCCTCCACCGTTCCCACCTCTTCTCAGTACCCTTTGGGAGCCTCAGCATCCATTGTAAAGAGCCCATCACCCTGGAATTGCCTCGTCTGTATGAGAAGATTGTTCAAAACCACCGGGGTGGTTTTTGTTATGAGCTGAACGGACTTTTCCAGTGGTTGCTGCACGTGTTAGGATTTCACACCAAAATTATAGCTGCACGTGTTTGGAACCGCTTCACGCAGTGCTACGGTCCTCCGTTGGACCACTTGATCACTTTGGTAGACTTGGATGGGCAGCAGTTTCTGTGCGATGTTGGGTTTGCAGAAGGTTTCCTGGAACCATTAGAGATGAAGCCTGAGGTGGAACAAGTTCAAGAAGCGGGCGTATTTTGGTTGAGCCTGGAAGGAGCTACCTGGGTACTGGAACGTCGGGAAATTTCTGGAGAGAGGGGAAGATTCCTCTATAAATTCACCCTAGAGGAGAAGAAACTAGAAGACTTTTCTGACATGTGTCTTTACCACCAGACCTCACCTTGTTCTATCTTCACCTGCAAATCCTTTTGTTCCCTGCACAAAGCAGGTGGTGGACGTCTGACCTACCTGGGCCAGCGCCTAATTTTCACCATGGGAAGGGAACGTACCGAAACGTTCTTGCAGAACTCTGATATCCCAACCGTTCTCTTTGATAAATTTGGGGTCAGCCTGAAGAACTTTGAACCAAAGGATGAAAAATTCCTGCCACCTCCTCAACAAGGTTCATTAGTGGGAGAAGCGAACGATGATCTCTTTTAGATGGTAATGAAATATAGAATTGGGCAGGCTGATCTATTAAGGATTTATTGCCACCTCTTCAACAAGATTGATTAGTGGGAAAAGCAAAGGGGGATCGCTTTTAGATTGTAATGAAATATGGAAATATGGAATTGGGCAGATTGATCATGTTAAAGATCATGCCCAAGATCGTGCTTGTGATTCTGTAAAGGGTTAAGAGACACTTCAACTGATTTAAGTTTGGATATCCTACTGATTAGCATTTTAGTGTTGTGGCAATTGCAGTATCATCATTTAGATTTATAAGGAACCTTGAACATGATTTTGCCTGTACTTGTGCACTTATCAATGACTGCTACATAAAAGATGAATCCAGATACATTGGTAGTCGATCAGTCTATGCTTTCGTTCAGCTTTAAAAAAACCTAGGTGAGTTTGACTACAAGCTCCATCTTCCCCAGAAGTATGACTAAGATATTATTTAGTTTTTTAGGGCAATTAAGGTTACTTACAGTGGTGATCCATCCTGGGAAATTCCTGTGGTCTTTGTCAAATACAACCTAACATACCAGCTTCCCATTGTGACTTTCTCAAAAAGAATTTCCACACTAAAAAAACACTTTAAGAAAGTGGATCCTATGCTATGCTATGCTATGCTATGCTATGCTATGCTATGCTATGCTATGCTATGCTATGCTATGCTATGCTATGCTATGCTATCCTACTTCTGCCAAATCTTCTAGACTCACTGCAGTTGACAACAACACATATAGACTGGTCTCAATTCTTGCTTAGTTACCTTTGCTTTGTGCATCCTTATTTGGCAGAAGGGATGTGGTCAAATTAAATAAAACCTCAATTACTACAACAAAAAAGAAAGGGAAAAAAAAACACCCTTTCTTTCTCCTACATCTGAACAGGATGTTATTAATACAATATGCCCTACAACTACATTAACAGAAAAGAAAAGTACATATTGTATATTTCATTTTGTTTGCTTTCTAGGATTGGAAGAGAGAGGAAAAAGTTGCGTTTCTACCTATGCAGTAGAAGGGTTCATGTACATAAATGAACTATACTTGAAAAGGAGTCTATAATATCATCACTGTAGACTTTATCTGAGTTTTCCAGGCAGGATAATTTCCAAATTGAATGGACTTCCAGAATTCTCCAGCCAGCAAGATCATCCCTGAGTATTGTAGCAATTGGGGTCCAGACTTTAGGAAATTGCTCAGATTGCCAGAACTTATTTTAGACCACGTAATATTCGTAGGATACTTCTTGACCCATCCATGCACAAATATGCTCTCCAGTACAAGGCCAGGACATCAGAAATATAATTAGAATAACAAAGTTGGAAGGGACCTTATAATCATCTAGTCCAACCCCCTGCCCAAGCAGGAGTTCCTAAATCATTTCTGAACAGGTGGCAGTCCAGTCTCTTCTTGAAAGCCTCCAGTGATGAAGCCCCCACAACATCTGAAGGCAGCCTGTTCCATTGGTTGATTGTTCTCACTGTCAGAAAATTTCTCCTTATTTCCAGGTTGAATCTCTCCTTGATCAGTTTCCATTTGTTATGCCTTGTCTGGCGTTGAGATGCTTTGGAAAATAGGCTGACCCCATCCTCTCTGTGACATCCCCTCAGATATTGGAACACTGCTGTCAGGTCTCCCCTGGTCCTTCTCTTCACTAGACTAGCCATTTGCAAAGGGTATAAGCTCTAACCTTTTCTTCATTTCCTGGATTTCTATTGACAAGTAGTTTTGCTGAGAGAGGAAAAGGAAAGTGTTGGATAGCACAACCATTGCATCGGAAGTGTGGGTGATTTTTGCAGGGTTAATGCAAACGGGGAAAGGGGGAGATGCAATGATCCCGCATTCAGGTCAAAGAGGCGATGCGTTGCAGCGCAGTTCCAAAATATTGGATTTCAGCCTGCAATTCCTTCTCCGGAATAATCTCGGCAAGAAATACGCAAGGCGATTTTGATCTAATTCTTCTCCCAAGTTTCCGGAAGGAAAAAAAAAAAGTGGAGGATCCCGAAGAAGACGCCAAAAAAGGATTTGGAAACGGGGAGGAGGGGGGGACTTCATGCAAATAACTCTGCAGACCTGCACACAAGTGTGTGCGCGTGTGTAAGGCCACAAAATCAGTATCTTCGTGCATTTACACGGATCGGCTCGCAAGTGCGTGGGTGCGTGCATGCAAGACTTCAAAATCTTTCATTTTGTGAAATAGCTACGCAGATCCACTCGCAAACGTGCGTGCGTGTGCGTGTGTGTGAGAGAGAGAGAGGTGCTTCAAAATATTCATATAAACAGCTACGCAGATCCACGCGTGTTGGGGGAGGGGTTTCTCCGCCCTTCCTTGCAAACCAAGAAGGCTTCCAAATCTTCACGCAAAGAGCTACACTGACCGGGGGGTGCGGTGTTTCCAGTCGCCCATTCGTACTTGCAAACTAAAAGATCTCATCCAAGATCCAAATCCCAACCTGGGCGCAATCTTCCCAGCACGCCACCCATAAACTTCCACCCACCCCCGCAGTCCAGCCAAAAGCCAAAAGGAGTGGAGAGGGGTCGGCCCCACTCACCGAGGCCAATGGCCACAGTCCTCTCCCGCGTCTACCTGCCTACCTACCTAACCTAATCTATTTATCTACCTACCTACCCTACCTTACTTACCTAACCTTACCTATCTACCCTGCTCTATTTACCTACCTACCTAACCCCTTACTTACCTAACCTACCTAACCTTACCTACCTACCCTAATCTATTTACCTAACCTACCTTACTTACCTAACCTACCTTGTATGTTGCATATGTCATATACATATGTTGTATATAGTATGTTTTAGGTGTGTGTCATGTATGTTTGTTTTTACAAATTTTTTATTAATTTTTTCAAATAAACATAAACAATACAAATATGGTGCATTTCATTAGAAAAACAAACACATAAAAAGCCTACTCAGTAGGTATTCAGAAATAATCGGCGGTCGTCCCCCCCCCCCCCGCATCCACACTCCCTCAACCTTCCTACCTACTTCCCTCTCCCTTCCTCCCCCTCTTAACCACCATCTCTCCACCACTTTGAGAGCGGGCAACTAAATTTCATTTTTGATGTGTGCCATTGTGCCCACAGTAAAAAATGGCAATAAAGGTTAAATAATAATAATAATAATAATAATAATAATAATAATAATAATAATAATAATAAGAAGAAGAAGAAGAAGAAGAAGAAGAAGAAGAAGAAGAAGAAGAAGAAGAAGTTGGAAGGGACCTTGGAGGTCATCTAGTCCAACCCCCTGCTCAGGCAGGAAACCCTATACCATTTTGGATAAATGGCTATCCAGTCTCTTCTTGAAAACTTCCAGTGTTGGAGCATTCACCGCTTCTGGAGGCAGGTTGTTCCACTGGTTAATTGTTCTAACTGTCAGGAAGTTTCTCCTTAGTTCTAGGTTGCTTCTCTCCTTGATTATCTTATCTCATCCACCTAACCTTACCTTCCTACCCTAAAACTATTTACCTACCTAACTTACCTTACTTACCTAACCTACCTAACCTTATCTACCTCCCTAACCTAATTTACCTAACCTTACCTTCCTAATCTATTTACCTCCCTCCCTCCTTCCCTTGCTCGATCCGAGGTCGGACACTGCGCGCGCCTCCAGCGCCGAACGGGCCGCGCGCCTCCAGCGCCACTCGGGAACCCGCAGGTGGGTTTACGGCTGCACCACTGGCCGGCCACGCTTCCCCATTCCGCCCCCACCCCACCCCACCCCACCTCCCCGCGCGCGCTCCCGCCCGGCCTCCTCTTCCTCCTGCTGGGAAAGGAGGGGCCGAGCGCGGATGGCGCGCATGCCCGCCTGAACCCGGAAGCCGTCACGGTCCCCCTTTTGCGCTGCGTCCCTCTCCGACTTGGCGCCGCCGTCGAGCAGGTGAGGGTCGGACGGGTCGCCTCCGCAGCTTTCTCTTCCCACCCTACCCCATTCGACCCGCGTGCATTTCTGCCCCGCCGCTCCCCTTCCTGCCAGCGGGACCGAATTAGGGCTTCTCCCAGGGCTGGTGCAGGGAAACCGCTGCGAATTAGCGGGCTGGGTGTTTTTTTTGCATTTAACAACAACAAAATGGCAATTTGGCTTCAGTGGGCGAGCTTCCCGTATGTCATGGGGTCTCCAATCTTGGCCACTTTGAAGACTTGTGGACTTCGACTCCCAGAATTCCCCAGCCAGCATGGGGGATTCTGGGAGTTGAAGTCCACACGACTGAAAAGTGGCCAAGATTGGAGATCCCTGCCCTGTTGGATAGGCCTCTCTCAAGTCCTCCCCAAATGTTATCAGGTTCTCACCTGATTTTGTGACCAGGAGTTGGCCTAGAAGAGGGGTAGGCAACCTTGGCTCTTTTATGACTCGTGGAATTCTGGGAATTGAACTCCACGAGTCATAAAAGAGCCACGGGTGCCTACCCCTGGCCTAGAAAGAGTGTTGCCCTAATTTGGTGTGGGGAGGAAGGGGTAAGGGAGAGAAAAAACAAAATTAATTCTCTGCCTGAAAAGGGAATGGAGGAGAGCCATGAGTTTGGAATGGGCCCATGCTGAGAACTTTTTTTTCTTGATTTGGAAAGAAAAACATAATAAACCTTTGTGAGAATTAATTTAAGTAGCTTTTAAGTAGCTTCCTGTCAGTTGCTGTCTGGATTACAAGCCAGATAGATGGATGGATGGATGGATGGATGGATGGATGGATGGATGGATGGATGGATGAGAGATAGAGAGATAGAGAGATATGATAGATAGATAGATAGATAGATAGATAGATAGATAGATAGATAGATAGATAGATAGATAGATAGATAGATAGATTAGATTATATATAGATTAGATAGATTAGATAGATAGATGATAGATAGATGATAGATAGATATACTGTGTATGTGTATACAAACATCTACAGATACACACACACACATAACTATAGATACACATACAGACACATAAACAAATACACATAAACTTCCATATGTGTGTATGTATATGCAGAATGTTCATACACCAAATAAAACACTGCTAATTAAATAGTTTATTGATTACTGATCAAATTGAGGATAATGTATAATTGTGGCATTTTTTAGATGTGTGGTCTTCAACTCCCGGAATTCACCTGTCAGTCAGCACTTTGATTTCCAAACAAGGTTTTGTGCTTTAGTGTTTGGGCCCAGGGAGCTATGGCTTAGTCAATTAATTATGGTTTCTGTGTGTGTCTCTCCAATTGTACTCAGTCATGGCTGTCTGAGCCTCAACTAGCATGGCCTGTTATGAGGGCTGCAAGGAGTTAGAGTGTAACAGTCTCAGGAATACCATACAAATGTCTGAAACAGGGTTTTTCATTAAACTATCATTGCTAATCCACAGTCTCCTCCATGGCTTCCATCGTTCCCCAGACAGCTTCCCCGGGCTCAGAGGTCTTTGTCACTCGCCACGGCGCTTTCGTGGTCCGCTCAGATTTGGGTTATTTCCTTCAAACACTTGACTTCTGCTCAGGACAAGATCTCAAAATACAACCCCTCCACCCTGCCTGCCGTGGAAAGGACCACTATGTGGGAGACCCCAGCAGTTCGACCATCTATCTTCTCCACGGGGGCTCCTTCTGCCAAGTGACAGATCTGAACTCTGAGCCACCCTCGGATGTCTTCCCGCTGCACCCCAGCTGCCGTGGAGCAGACCACTATGCATTCTGCGAGGGATATTTTTTCAACTTCTTCCTGTCGCGAGGGGTGGTCCTCTGTGTGGCTGATCTGGCCACTGGGGCCTTGATTAAGGAGGTCCACTTGGAACCCACCCTTCTCAATGGGCTATACTATTACGGCGCGGATGCTGAACATCTGGCTTGCTTCAGGATGGACGAGGAGCAACGGCTGTGCGGCACCTGTTTTGCCACCACCGCAGGACACAAGGAGTCCTTTGCGATCCACCCAGATGTGGTCTCATTCCTCCCAGGTGGACTGTCCCTCAGCTACGGAGCTGCCTTCGGTCAGTGGCAGTGCCTCAAACTCCTCTCCAACGCAACCGACCTGCCCATGCCCAGCAGCTATGCAATATCCCGCAAGGTTGGCTATTCTCAGTTGGAACTTGGGCTAAAAGCTCACGTCGACGAATCGGTGAGTCCAGAGTCCCTTACAGTCTCCCTTCTCCAGCGCCAGTTTGCCCTCCCTGCAGTTTATGGAGGGCTGGGACTTCAGACCGAGCAAGAAGAATGGGAAGCAGCAGCGGAGGAAGAAGAACCTCTCCGGGTGATCCTGCAGCCCAGGCAGAAGCTTTACTGGTGGCATTACTGCCTGGGGTTGGGTAAGACACCCATCTTGTATTGCCGGTCACTGAAAATCACCCGCAATCCTTCACCCCCTACAAACATACCTTTGCCACCGGCTGAGGTTTGAAGTCGGACTTCAGGACGGAAGCTTTTAACCAGGCTAGGAAGAAGTAAATAAATGCATATATTTATGTACTTCCTCTTCTTGTGTCTTTCAATGGCAAGTTGCAGGTAATCTTCGCTGAGTTGACCCCTTGTTTGGTGACTGAAGTTGTGAAGGTGCTGAACAAGGGGGATTTTACAACAGGTCCTTGTGTGGTTGCAGCCATTGCAGCATCCCTGAAGTCACACACAGAATGATTCTCAATTTACAACAGTTCACTTGGTGACCATTCAAAGTTACGACAGCACTTAACGACCGTTGTAGCAACCCCACGGTCACGTGATCAAAATCCACACACTTGGCAACTGACTCATGGCAGTTGCAGTGTCTCGTGGTCATGTGATCACCTTTTGTGCCCTCCTGACGTGAAATGGTCTTTACATCAAAAGTAGCACAGGAGACAGCTGTCTCATGGTAATAATAATAGTGATAAAGTTGGAAGGGACCTTGGAGGTCATCTAGTCCAACCCCCTGCTCAGGCAGGAAACCCTATACCATTTCGGACAAATGGCCGTCCAGTCTCTTCTTAAAAACTTCCAGTGTTGGCGCATTCACCGCTTCTGGAGGCAGGTTGTTCCACTGGTTAATTGTTCTAACCGTCAGGAAGTTTCTCCTTAGTTCTAGGTTGCTTCTCTCTTTGGTTAGCTTCCCGTTGCTCCTTGTCCTGCCTTCAGGCGCTTTGGAAAATAGCTTGACTCCCTCTTCTTTGTGGCAGCCCCTGAGATATTGGAACACTGCTATCATGTCCCCCCTCGTCCTTCTCTTCGTTAAACTAGACATACCCAATTCCAGCAACAGTTCCTTATATGTTTTAGCCTCCAGTCCCCTAATCATCTTTGTTGCTCTTCTCTGTACTCTTTCTAGAGTCTCAGCATCTTGTTTACATCCTGGTGGAACCATCTGAATGGGAGAACATTCCAGCTTGGGGGGAAAAAACCCAATCGCTTTGTATCAAGAGAAACTATCTTAGATGTTTGCCGATAGCTCTTTGGGTTTGTTCCTATGGAATGGGACAACTCCACGCGGCCAACTCACCACAGCCAACTTGCTGTGGGACAATTCACTGCGGGACAATTCAACAATTCGATTATTTAAAATAATTTTAAAAAATTTGTTTCAATTTTTGTCATTCACATTTCATTTTGCATCCTTTCTTTAATGATTCTATTCCACCATTTCTTCAATATTAGTGTAACCTTTCTTCCGCAATGAATTGTCCTACAGCAAGTTGGCTGCGGCAAGTCTTAAACCCTTGTTCATAGAATCTAAAAAGCGCAGAATCCTGTGATCAGCATGCTTATGAATTGTGGGACATGAAAAACACTTGGGTGGTCATGAGGGGTTTTGTGATCTTCCACATTTCCAATTTGACAAACACAAGAAGAACCTATCTGGGTGTCCTTCACACAACATGAGGTAAAAAAGGTAATTCAGAGTGCTACAAAACTTTTTTCAAGGAGTTGTCATCAAAACATCAGAGTTGGGAAATAGAAGAATCTGGAAACGATCAATGCTAATAGCAACATAACTCTCTTCATCTATGTTTCTCTGCTACGGATAGTCCTCGACTTACAACTATTCATTTAGTGATGGTTCAGAGTTACAACGACATTGAAAAAAGTGACTTATGACAGCTTTTCACACCATTGCAGCATCCCCATGGTCACATGATCAAAATTCGGATGCTTGGCAACTGAGCCATATTTATGACAGTTGCAATGTCCCAGGATCATATGACCATCTTTGCGACTTTCTGACAAGCGAAGTCAACAGGGGAGCCAGATTCACTTAACAACCATGTTAGTAACTTAACAACTGCAATGATTCACTTAACAGCTGTGGCAAGGAAAGGTCGTAAAATGGGGCAAGACTCATTTAACAAATGTCTCGCTTAGCAACAGAAACGTTGGGCTCAATTGTGGTCATAAGTCGAGGATTACCTGCATTACATAACTTTGGCTGTCCCCAACCTGGTGCCCACTAGCAACAACAGCATACCAATTCTAAGACACTTTAAGGGCACTAGAAACACACAATACTGTTTTCAGAAAACACCAAGATTTATTTTTTAGCTTTTAAAAAATAGTTGGGGGAACAGTGCATTTTTTTTCTCTGTCCTACAAAAGTATAATTTTAAAAAGTTTTTTTTTAAATAAAAATCACTTATTATTTATAAGAGACTGTATAAGAACTGAGTGCCCCAAACGTACTTGAATTTCTTCAAGGAAATTTAAAATCTCTGCCTAAAATTGATGTTGGCACCATATTTAAAGACATAAAAATAGGATTTATACAATTGGTATTGGAGGCTCAGATTTTCTTCAAACAGGTTGACCTAGATGTGCAAAACAATTCCCGTCCCGTTTTGAATAGTTAAGATCAGTAACTCCATCTGAAGACACTGAATACATTTAGAGGTTGCCACCTCGAGGAAAGCTATTGTAAGAGTATAAAGCAGCTTTTTAATCAAGCCAGACACCTAATCTGCAGTGCGTCTTAATATTAAGCTGGAATCCAATCAAATTGGAACATGCCAAGTACACGATGGTGGTCCTCTCATCAAGCCTAAAATGGAGGTTGTTTAAGCATCTCTACCAATAAAGGAGAATATTTGTAGCTCCGGGTTGAAAATGAAGGGTCCTTGATGCTCTCTGAGCTTGATGTTACCTAAGTTGGGTAATGAAACATCTGGAGGAAAACAGCCAAGCTCAGACAGGGGCAAGGACCCCTCATCTTTACTCTTTTAAAGTGAAAACCTACACAAGTCATGACTTTTATCTCAGAAATCTTTGATTGGTTAATACAGAATCAAGGTGGATGCTGGGAATTGGAAGTTTTAGAGAGAGAAATCCTGCAGGAATTTCTCTCTTGGCAGAGGACCAATTTATAGTAATTCCATCTCAAGGCCTTTAGCTCTCTCATAGCTTAGGTCCGCCATATTGCATGTAGGGCAGACATGTCAAACACAAGGCCCAGGGGCCGGATGCGGCCCGCGGAGTGGTTTCATGTGGCCCGCGAAGCCATCCTGGAAACAGTGAGGGAACGGCCCCCGCTGCCTTGGCCCTGGCTCAGGCCAGCCGGGAGCCAATGTACAATTTTGTGGTGGCCATCTATGCTGAAACGCATTCAGTCTTAGCTCCATAAGCCCCCTCCCCTGCATGGCCTGAGAGGAACAGTGAGGCTCCTCCAGTGGACCATGCCTTGGCACTTGCCCCGGTCCCACCCCCTTCTGCCAGAGACCCTCAGATCTGTCCCACTCCTGCCCAGGCCCCCATAGGAACCCTTGACGCGAACGATGTAGAGCTGGCCACACCCACCCAGTAGGCCACACCCAGTCCATCCACGCCCACCCAGTAGGCCGCACCTACCCTGACCACACCCACCCGGCCCCCTGAGGGCAACCGCAATGCTGACGCGGCCCTCAATGAAATTGAGTTTGACACCCCTGATGTAGGGAGTTTAAGTTCCTGCAAGCAACTTCACATTTCTGGAATGCAGAGAGGTCCAATTATTGAAAAGAAAACTGTCTGATTCGAAGATGAGGTTCATCTGATATTAAGAGGAAACAGGACAAACACAACAGCGCAGGCTTTAGGACCGAAGCCTTTTGCGGGGTCCAATCTTTCTGTCTTCATTCCCCAAGCATTTTCTCCCTCGTCAACGGCCACTGGTGCACAAAGATCACGTCAATCATTTGAAGTTTGATCTCTGAAGGCGACTGTGTTCGATCAATCTCCCTTGGGGGACAGAACAGAAGAGGCTGGCTCAGAAAGTAAAACTGAGAATAGCCTCTGAAAGCTTGTTCAGGTCTTGGCAACCAGGTTCTCTCATGAGCACAAAGTCCACTTTTCTGTCTTGTCCCTCAAAAATCTCCAAAAGCTTGCTCCTCAGCCACTCTGTCTCTTCTGTGGAGCGAAGTGTCTCCTTCTCAACAGGGCTGTTGTGCCGACCTCTCCTGTAGTCCCCTACTGAACCAGCAGGAGGCCTCCTATCCCGGAGGTGAAGGACCTCTGTCTGGGATATAGGATGTGATGGTGTGAACTGAGGGGCGGGTTGGCCACTGAAAGAGTGACAATCAGGATACTTGGTTCTGCTATGGAGGGGAGAAAAAAAACAGAAAAATTCAAATCCCGCCCTGGTTTTGCAAGAAACAGGATGGGTGACTTTTTTTCCCCATCAGTTTCTCTATCAGAAGTATCAATTAGCTTATTTTTGAACCAATTATTTTAATTGGTGTCAGTTAGATGGATGGCAGACTCCACTTGCTCCCCCACCACCTCATTTGCTCTCTGCTCTCCACCCATCCATCTTTTTGGCTATCATATTGATGTATTTGTTCTCGCTGTGTTCCTTTGTTATTGTTTATTGTTCTATTCCAGTGGTGGCGAACCTATGGCACGCATGCCAGAGGCGGCACTCAGAGCCCTCTCTGTTGGCACACGCACCATCGCCGCCAGCAGCAGGTCCATCAGGCCACCGCCGCCGCCCGGAGCAGGAGCCCCGCCCAGCACAAAGGAGGCGAAGCGGCCGACTAGCAAGCTCGAGTAGAGGTGGTAGAGCAGAGGCCACCAACCATTGTCGATTGGTGGACTGGAAGAAAAGGGAGGGGAAGCATTTTACATGCGTGCATGCGCGCACGGGGCCGCGAGCACGCTCGCGCTGCAAATGGGGCGGAGCTAGTGCCTGCATTATACTAGCCCTGCCCCGTTCTTGCGTGGTGCAGCGCCTTGTATCTGCACCCTGCAGTGCGGCGGCGGCCGTTTTTGCGCCTGGCAGCACAGTGGCCCATTTTTGCGACCCCGGTTTTTGCGTGCCAGAAGCAGCACTCAGAGGCGCCTCCCTGACCCCCCCGCCCGAGGGCACCACAATGCTGATGCGGCCCTGGCACTTTGCGATAAGTAAGTGGGTTTTGGGTTGCGGTTTGGGCACTCGGTCTCTAAAAGGTTCGCCATCACTGTTCTATTCAGTGCTTTTTTTGTAAAAAAAAAAAAAAAAGTGCTGGAACTCACACACGTCATACAACCCGCCTTGCCTACCCTACAAGGTTCCATCCCAAAAAGGTGCCGGAACTCCGTTCTGGGCGTTCTATGACAAAAAAAAGCCCTGGTTCTATTATTTCACTTCTGTTTACCCATCTTTTCATATATATTTTTTTCCAATTTTATTATTGTAAGCTGCCTACAATAGCCCCCACAGCGAGATAGCCTTTTCTGATGCTCCCCATGATGCTATTGCTATTCTGAGCACTGGCTCCATGTTTCTACCCAGCTACAACGTCTACAAAGTTGAAAGTTTGAACTCAACCGGGTCAAAAGCATGTGGTGGTCTCTCCAGATGTACTTCCTGTCCAACAACACCACTCACCCGCCCCTTCGCCTCATTTAGCCAAGGCTGCCAGGAACAGCAGCTCATTTTTCAAGCTGCTGACTTTTTTTTTTGTTTGTTTTTTTGAGCTAGTTCTCAGCAAAGCAGTTCCTGGGATCCAGCCCAGTATACGTTTTCAGATTCTTCTTCGCAGCAATGAAGGAGAACGTTTTCATAAAACTCATCTTAAATTGGTATTTTCCAGAAATAATAAATAAGGCAAAGGAATGCTAGGGAAGTGGATCTTTTCTTTTCCTTGTAATGCAGTGTTTCTCAACCTTGACAATTTTAAGGCATGTGGACTTTAACTCCCAGAATTCCACTGGCTGTGGAATTCTGGGAGTTGAAGTCCATATGCCTTAAAATTGTCAAGGTTGAGAAACACTGTTGTAATGGAACCTTGGGTTTTGGACTGAGCAATAGTTGGCAGGTGAGATAGACAGGAAGGAGGACTTATTGATTGTGATAACTAAAAAGCCATGCACTTTCTACTTCTGGCCACAAGATAGAGCTCTGCCACTATTTATCCCGACAGGTTCCACAACTTTTAACAACAAGATAACTTTTATTGTCATTTTTTTACTGCAAGCACACTGGCACACATTAAAAATGAAATTATGTTGCCTGCTCTCAAAAGAAAGTATATATCTACCCATACACATGCATAACACATAATACCCATATACACCTGCTATATACATACATACACATATACCTACACACACACACATATATACACATATAACAATGATAAAGTTGGAAGGGACCTTGGAGGTCATCTAGTCCAACCCCCTGCTCAGGCAGAAAACCCTACACCATTTCGGACAAATGGCTGTCCAGTCTCTTCTTAAAAACTTCCAGTGTTGGAGCATTCACCGCTTCTGGAGGCAGGTTGTTCCACTGGTTAACTGTTCTAACTGTCAGGAAGTTTCTCCTTAGTTCTAGGTTGCTTCTCTCCTTGATTAGTTTCCACCCGTTGCTTCTTGTCCTGCCTGTCAGATGCTTTGGAGAATAGATTGACTCCCTCTTCTTTGTGGCAACCCCTGAGATATTGGAACACTGCTATCATATCGCCCCTAGTCTTTCTCTTCATTAAACTAGACAATAGAATAGAATAGAATAGAATAGAATAGAATAGAATAGAATAGAATAGAATAGAATAGAATAGAATAGAAATTTGAGAGTTCAGAAGGTTGATGCTATATGGAACAAAACTGTGACTGAAACTAGATGTTCTGCTATGGATACCACAAAGCTTCCTCCCAGAAAGTAACAAGGAAAACAGGTTGTCAAGAGGATGTGTAACATCCCAGACAATAACTGTGGACAGGAGTCCTTCACTTTGGTTGCAAACCTGGAACTCTAAGAACTGTAATTTCAGTAGAACTAGACAATTGGGAAAATATCTGGCCGTTCCCCCCATGTCTTGTCAGCCTGTCATTCCAGATCCAGCCTGTCACCACCAGGATGTAGTCTTTAGAGTTAAGATACATCCTTCGTGGTAGCAACCAAGAGCAGCCTATGGCTGATCCTATGACTCTCAGTTGCTAAGCAGAGCTAAGCTTGGATTGGGAGAGGGATGTCCTGCTGAAGAGGAATTGCTGACTCATGACTGACTGAAGGCCACTTCACCGGCCACTCCAAGGTTGCAAGCTAGATCAGGAAATTGAAATTCATCATGAGCAAATCGCTTCTTCGTGGTTGTCGAAGAAACTATAGAAACCTCACCATGAGGTTACCAAGAGTCAACTCAAAAGAAATGTTAGCTTTAGCCTCAGCCAATGGCAGACTTAACCCTTGCGTGGAGGACCAGCAAGAAGCCCCAGGGCTTAGACTATGAAGTTGGACAAAAACTACTTATGCATTGTTGTCAAGACACATGCATTCCCTTATAGAATTTTTGAAAGATTTAAACTTGATAAAAAAAAAAGTTTTTGTCAACTCTGCAACAAACCTGGCTGAAGCCATCTTGCTCGTTTTCGGTTGCCACAAGATTGGGGGGAGGAATGGTAAGTGGTAGCCTAAACAATTCTCTGTCCCGTGGGAACCAAGGTCATTTCTGTTCCCTTGGCTGGGGGGCTTGAACCAAATGTTAGAAAGCCCGCCAAACTATTTTATTGGGAAACGTAGTTGATTGCATAGACAGTGGGGTGGAAAGTTTCACTTTGTAACACAATTACTTTTGGAGGGAACTTTAATCTTGGTTCCATTTTTGACCGTGCCAATACTTTGTAACCAATAAACATGTTCTTAGAGGAAAACTCAAGCCTCGGAGTTCTGCTTTAGTTGGTCTCATCTATCAGAACCATAACAGTTTTGTTTTTTTCAACAGGAGTTAAATCTGAATTCAATATCAATTTAGGTTCTGGAGATGACCACTTGGTTGCTAAAGTATATAAAATATTACTCAAGATGAACCTGGCGGATGAATCCGTAAAAGACTGTATGGTAAAATGGGCAAAAAAATTGGGTATAATGCTAGATAAATGGGTTAACATTTACTTTGAATTATAATTTGAAAGAAACATGCATTCCCATAAAGCCCCCAAGAATTAACCTTGAGGAGCTGTGGTGGCACAGTGGTGAAAATGCAGTATTGCAAGCTAATTCAGCTCACTGCCAAGTTCGATCCTGACCTGCTTAAGGTTGATTCAAGCCTTCCATCGTTCTGAGGTCAGTAAAATGAGGAGCCAGGTAGTTGGGGGAAATATGTTGACTCTGTAAACTGCTTAGAGAGTGATGTAAAGCACTATGAAGCAGTATATAAGTCTATGTGCTATTGCTATTGCTTGACCCAGAATGAGGCTACTGGTATAGGTTCTCCTGCTTGAGCAGGGGGGCTGGACTACAAGACCTTAAAGGTCCCTTCCAGCTTCTACTCTACTCTACTCTACCCATCAATCTACAAGACATTTTTTAATTCTAGACCTAATCTGGCTAGTTTAAGGGATATATTTGTTAGAAGTTCATCAGAAATACTCACTTGTTCTTTTTCTTCAGGAAGTCTGCCAAGGTAGGGCCACTTCGTCCTAAGGGGTCATCCGGGACCATAAATATATTCCCCACAAAGGTGTACTGCAACAAGCTGCACAACAGAAAACCAGATAAGGGGTTCATACATCCTGCAAAGCTACAGTTTATTTGGCAAATTCAAATGGGTCAGATCCACTGATTGTGCCAAGCCACAAATGACGGCTTGCAAGCCACTTGACGCACTAAACCACAAAGAAGCAAACCAGTTCAGACGTCCTGCAATTCGCAAATCCAGCCAGCAGGTTAAGAAAAATCACCCACCAGACTGTTTCTTTCAAGGATTCAGCTGAGGTATCAGCCTAGCACTTTTCAACCATCTCCTGAATGCAGCCATTTTAGGAGCAATGAGAAATACTCAATACACCTTCAGGGATAACCAATTTTCACAGACTCCACAGCGCCTCAAGATTAACCCCTAAAATTCAGTCACTGAATTTCAGCAGCACAATTTGTCTGCTTTATATTCCAACTTAAGAGGGGCACTGAGAGCAGTTATGGGTCCGTTCCCATCCTCAAAGAAGCTGTATAGGTAGTCCTCAACTGAGCCCAAAATTTCCATTGGTAAGCGAGACAGTTTTTATGTGAATTCTGCCCCATTTTATGACCTTTCTTGCCACAGTTATTGTGAATCGCTGCAATTGTTACATTAGTAACACAGTTGTTAAGTGAATCTGACTTCCCCGTTGACTTGGTTGGTCAGAAGGTCGCAAAAGGTGATCATGTGACGCCGGGACACTGCAACCGTCGTAAATATGAATCAGTTGCCAAGCATCTGAATTTTGATCACTTGACCAAAGAGATGCTGCAAAGTTAAGTGTGAAAAATAATCATAATTCATTTTTTTCAGTGCTGTAGCTTCAATCGGTCACTAAATGAACTGTTGTAAGTCAAGGACTAACTGTAATGAGTTGATTTGGCCTCTTTTTCTCCTTGAAATTGAGTAACTTCTCTCATCCCTATCCTTAACACCCACAAACCACTGAAAAACACACCCCCTAAAGGGCTTATTTTTGGGAAGAAAATGACGGGCATGTCAGGAGAAACATACAAGTTGACTGAGGCAAGAAGGAGCTACTTAAATGTGAGGGACAAAACAAGAATTACTGGACGGTGAATGAATATGGACTGAATACAGGTTAACCACAACTCATTCAGAGGCCATACGACAGCCCTAAATGAGTGGCACTCACAACCGGTCCTGGATGTTCTGGCCATCCCAACACCACTGCAGCCATGGGATGGTGACTGCGGTGGTTTCGCTTAAGGACCGTGGCAAAAGAAGGTTGTAAAACTGGGTGCAGCCATACGTTGCCTGGCTTAACAATCACACCACTTAATGGCAAATGTTCCAGTCCAAAATGTGGTCAGGAACTTCCAATGACGTCATCATGTCCCCAAATAAGCTCCTGCAGTTCTAGAAAGCCACCTGAGCCTTCAAGCACAGCTGATATACTGTAAGTGAGAAACATTTCCTGTCTGTAGGCAAGATTTACAGACACAGAAACTGAGATTAACAGAATAACAGAATTGGAAGGGACCTTGGAGGTCTTCTAGTCTAACTTCCTGCTCAGGCAGGAGACCCTAGGCATTGGGTAACACAAAACAAAATACAAGTAGTCCTTCATTTACAGCCACTCATTTAGTGACTGTTCAAAGTTACAACGGCATTGAAAAAAGTGTCTTAGGACTGTTTTTTCCCCACTTACGACTGCTGCAGCATCTCCATGGTCACGTGATCAAAATTCAGACGCTGGGCAACTGACTCATATTTATGAGAATTGCAGTGTCCCGGGGTCATGTGATCACCTTTTGTGACTTTCTAACAAGCAAAGTCAATGGGGAAACCAGATGCACTTAACCACCGTGTTACTAACGTAACAACTGCAGTGATTCACTTAACGACTGTGGCAAGAATGGTTGTAAAATGGGGAAAAGCTCGCATAGCAACTATCTTGCGTAGCAACAGAAATTTTGGGCTCAGTTGTGGTCATAAGTCGAGGACTACCTGTATATAGAATCCATAGGGTGGGAGGGACCTCAGAGGTCTTCTAGTCCAACCCCCTGTTCAAGGCACCCCAGTCAAATAATTGTCCTGTCTATTTCTGAAAACCTCCAGGATGATGAAGCACTCACAACTCCAGGAGGCAAGGTATTCCGTAATTAATTATGTTAATTAAACTAGAGCATAGGGTTCATAATAAGTGGTAAAGTAGGGAATAAGTAATTTTCTTAATTAAAGCCTCCCAGGAGAAAGTCAGGGAAGATAAAAAAAATGTCTGTTTCTGGTCTGTACCACTTCTCAAAAGAACTCCCCCTCACAAGCTTGGAAATTTCAAGTTTTGAAATAAAGGATGCCTGGAATTGTCCTTGTTGACTGCTTAGCTTTCAATGAGTGGCATGCTAAGTAGCGTGACATGTGGAAAGACATTGAAATGTGTAATTTCCCTCAGAGCGCACCAGATGGTACAGTCCCAGGGGACCGTATCAAATGTCTCATTCTGGGTTGCCTGTTCTTGAAACCTGACTCTCTAGGACGGGTGTCAAACTGCCGGCCCGTGGGCCAGTTTCATCATACCGGAGCCGTGCCCACCCCATTGCCGGCAATGGCGAAAAAGCTCCGATACGTCACGCGACGTCACGTGACGTCGCTAGTTTGACATGCCTGCTCTAGGACAAATTTTCAGCTTCCTTGATTCCCTCAAGCTTTTGTATATCAATCGGTAATCAAAATCCCTGACAGGAAGAAGTCCGGGCCTCACCCTATTTCTCCCCACCTCATTCAAGAAAGAAAAATGCAGCACCATCTAAGAAGAGAGATGGGGAATGATGGCCCCTTTATGACTTGTGGACTGGCTGGCTCAGGAATTCTGGGAGTTGAAGTCCACAAGTCATAAAGGGGCCATCGTTTCCCACCTCTGATCTAGAAGGCTCCTTCAAAAAAGATTGCCTCTTGCTCCACCCCACTGCACCCCCAAATTAAAGAATCCATCTTCACCTCTCCTTGATTAGCTTGATCCATCTCTTCGATTCTTTGGCAAGATCCCGGAACTGGTCGTTAGTGACAATCACCCCGTTAGTCTGTTCTGCCAGTTTCAGCATCATTCTGCAGTCCAATGAAAGACATGTAAAAGAAGAGCCAACAGAGAAATTAATTAGGATAATTTTACCTCTTCTGTTTCAAGGTCCTCAAACTTCCCTTGAGGAAAGATTCGCATCCCTCATGGACATGATAGCAGTGTTCCAATATCTCAGGGGCTGCCACAAAGAAGAGGGAGTCAAGCTATTCTCCAAGGCGCCTGAAGGCAGGACAAGGAGCAACGGATGAAAACTAATCAAGGAGAGAAGCAACCTAGAACTAAGGAGAAACTTCCTGACAGTTAGAACAATTAGCCAGTGGAACAACCTGCCTCCAGAAGCAGTGAATGCTCCAACACTGGAAGTTTTTAAGAAGAAACTGGACAGCAATTTGTCCGAAACGGTATAGGGTTACCTGCCTGAGCAGAGGGTTGGACTTGATGACCTCCAAGGTCCCTTCCAACTTTATTATTAGTATTAGTATTAGTATTTGCCACGTTGTCAAAGATCCGGCACGGCAAAGGTCTTGCCTAGGAAGCACAATTGTCTCTCCTTTACAACCATACCAACAACAGAGGACAATCTCTTTTCAGAGAACCAGTCTACCAGGATTGATCCATGAGTTACTGAGATAGCCACGGTGTTTTGCAACCACAAAGACAACAGGCTAGAAAGCAAGAGATTGTGAGTTCAAGTCCTGCCTTAGCAATGAAAAGCCAACTTTGGACCAGGCCCTCTCTCTCAGCTCAACTCACCTCTTAGAATTGTTGTTATGGGGAAAGTAGGAGGAAAGTAAGTTAGATATATCTGCCACCTTGAGTTGTTTGTAAACATAATAAAGACAGGATACAGATGGACGGATGGACGGACGGATGGACGGATGGACAGACAGATAGACAGACACCCCCACACACACACTTTCTGCCACAATGCTTTCCTAGCTAGAGCAAATGTCCTCATTGCCAGACTGGAAACCAGATTTTTTTTTTAAATAATGTTTGAATGGTTAACCAAAATTTGGGATATTGCCAGTTGATAAAAGTCAAGGACTTCATAAGAGGCCATCATGAGATCAAATCAATCAGATAATAGGAAGGATGTTAGTGCAAAGTAATGCAAAAAAATAAAACATCTAAAAAAATGATGTAATGTTCTGCCAGCAAAAACATTGCTTCCCCAAAACAGATAATTAAATGTCTATTTTTCTAGCTGAAATTTCATACTTTTCTCAAGAACTGTCATTTTAATAGGGAAATATATCATATATGCATTTGCATCTTGAATATGTTTGTGTGCATACACAGAAAGATACTTACAGGCACACACACACATAGGGATATGCTGTTATCTTTCAATAACTTAGTGCACAAAACTTCCCAAGATTTCCAAGAAGTGGGCAGTGGGCAGAGTCCAACTGCAATCCTGCATTTTAACCATTGTGCCACCACACAGATAAAGAGAGAGAGAGAGAGGATCACAAGATATACTTTGGGCATGTCATGCATGCCAATTCATTGGAGAAGTCAGTGATGCTAGGAATGGTTAGTGGAACAAGAAGAAGGGGCAAGCAAAGAACAAGATGGCTTGATAACGTCAAAGATGGTGATACAAAGATGAACATCCAGCAACTGAAAGAAGCTGTGCTTGACAGGGTAGCATGAAGAGCACTTGCCTATGAAGTCACCAAGAGTTGGACACAACTGAACAGTGGAGAATGAAAATGAAAATAAAGAAGCAACCTAAGATTTCTCTTTGAGTTTCAGCTGAAAAACCAGTGGGACAGCTACACCATTTGCTGTTCTTTCTATACCAGGCTGATCAAGAGTTTGGAAGAGACTAAGGATCAAATCCTTACTTCAGTGTTTCTCAACCTGAGCTACTTTAAGATGGCGGACTTCAACTCCTAGAATCCCCCAGTTAGAATGGCTTGCTGGGGAATTCTGGGAGTTGAAATTCATGTTCTTAAAACAGCTCAGGTTGAGAAACACAGCCTTACTTAATCATAAAGCCTACAGATCTTTGACTGATGTCAATTTACACATCGCAGCTGGGAGTAGACCAACAAATATTGTTGAATCATAACTTCCAGTATCCAACAGGATAAGAGTTGTCATTCAACACCTGCTGGAATATCCAAGATGGTTTATACTTACATTAAGCTATGGTTTTTTCAACTAGTTCAACTTGAACAGTTAGTACTCACTAACCTAAATCACATTAGAGCTTAGCGAGGTAGGGGCTCAACCATAGGCAGATACAAAGTTATCTTCCTACTTCTTTTCAAAGACCTTTAGAGTTAAGAAGGGGCTGTCAAAGCCAATGAATTCAAACTGCACAAGATTCCAAATTTCTATTTCTATCAATCAGAATAGAACTGGAAGAGACCTTGGAGGTCTTCTAGTCCAACCCCATGCTCAAGCAGGAGACCCTATACCATTTCAAATATGTGACTGTCCAGTGTTTCTTAAAAACCTCCAGTGATGATGCTCCTACAATGTCTGAAGACAAGCTGTTCCACTGGTTAATTGTCCTGCTAGGAAGCTTCTCCTTAATTCCAGGATGCTTCTCTCCTTGATTAGTTTCCATCCATTGTTTCTTGTCCTGCCTTCTGGTGCTTTGGAAAATAAGTTGACCCCTTCTTCTTTCTGGCAGCCCCTCAAATATTGGAATGCTGCTATCATGTCCCCCCTAGTCCTTCTTTTCTCTAGACTGGCCATGCCCAATTCCTGCAACAGTTCTTCATATGTTTTTGTCTCCAGACCTTTAATCATCTTAGTTGCTCTTCTTTGCACTTTTTCCAAAGTCTCAACACCATTTTTGTAATATGGTGACCAAAATTGAATGCAGTATTCCAGGTGTGGTCTTACTAAGGCTTTATAATGCGCTACTAATACTTTGCATGCTTTTGATTCTATGCCTCTGTTTATAGGATTATTTGTGAGGCAAGAGGGCCATAAAACATTGTAATGAGTACCTTGGTACTCATCATTAATTTGTTCTTGGAGGCGCAATGAGTACCAAAAACGGTAAGTACCAAACAATTTTTCCCCATAAGGAACAATATAGTGAGTCACAAGGCAGCCAACACTGACAAGTTCTAACTTGTGCATTGAGTACCAAACAATGAGTACCAGAAAAAAAATTTCATGTCAAAACGCATTGAGTACCAAATTTGATGACTTTTAAAGCAGTTGAGTACCGAGGTACCACTAAGTAAACTTAATATTTAGCTGCCTGTTTTAATGGCCTTAATAGGTTTTTGTTCCTTAGTATGACAGGGAATTTGACTTTAAAATTAAATTTGCATTGTGTGTCTAATTATCGGTTGGCAAAATCATTTCCTGCTTCTGTTCTGTGTCTAAGGTTCATGTAAGCTAAAAAAAAAAATGAAGTCATTCACTCCCTTGAAACTGGGAAACCCTGGGGAAAAGCCCATTAAGAGTCCCTGTAAAAGAATGATTTCATTGTCATCCACTAGTCTGCACAGCAAATGTTGAAATAACTGGGTGATTCTCAAAAAAGAACCCAAAAAAGCTCTCGCTATGTTGACCTCAATTTCCCCAAAATCTGGCCACAAACAATATTTCATGCCTAAAGAAGTAATTTGAAATATTCTAAAGTGGCACAAATAGTTTAGGCCCCTGGGACTGTCTGAGCTTGTTTTCTTGCAGATGTTTCATTACCCAAACTAGGTGACATCGTAAGTCAGACATGTCAAACACAAGGCCCGGGGGGCCGGATGCGGCCTGCGAAGTGGTTTCATGTGGCCCACGAAACCATCCTGGAAACAGTGAGGGAACCGCCCCCACTGCCTTGGCCCTGGCCCAGGCCGGCCGGGAGCCAATGTACAATTTTGTGGTGGCCATCTATGCTGAAATGCATTCAGTCTTAGCTCCACAAGGCCGTCCGGAAACAGCGAGGAACCAGCCTCTGCCACGTCGTTCCCGCCCCCTGGGTGCATGCTGGGGAGGTGTCACCCTTTGTGAGGAATGAAGAAATGGACCATGCCTTGGCGCTTGCCCCGGTCCCACCCCCTTCTGCCAGAGACCTTCAGATCTGTCCCACTCCTGCCCAGGCCCCCACAGGCACCCTTGATGCAAACAATGTAGAGCTGGCCATGCCCACCCAGTAGGCCACACCCACTCCATCCACACCCACCCAGTAGGCCACACACCCCCGCCCCCCCCCCGAGGGCAACCGCAATGCTGATGCGGCCCTCAATGAAATTGAGTTTGACACCCGTCGTAAGTTCTAGTGCTTCCTTCCTTCCTTCCTTTCAAGTACTGATGATGTTACCTAGTTTGGTAATGAAACATCTGCAAAAAAAAAATAACCAAGCTCAGAGAGCACCAAGGACCCCTCATTTCAACCCTGAGCTACAAATAAAATACTCCATTTTTACAACCCTGTGATTCCTTAATTTGGGGTAGAGCCAGGGTAACTGGATGGAGCTGAGCATTTCTTGGCCGGATGCCCTTCCTGACACCACACAGAGTTCACAGCAAATTTTTTTTTTTTTGCACCCTAGGAAAGAAACATCAGCCACTACCTAGGATTGAACTCTCAACCTTTCAAGTGGCAGGCAAACAACTTCACCACTAGGCCACCATGTCGCTCAACCCTGAGCTACAAATATTTTCTTTCATTGGTACCTGTCCAGGAGACAGTGGAGGACAGGGGTCCTGGCATGCTATTGTCCATGGAGTCACAGTCAGGTGCAAATGAGCAACTGAAAAACAATGTTAATCTGGGGAACATTCCTGTCTCTTGAGCCTTTTCAAAAAAACAAGGGTTTGATATTGTGAGTGTTCATTTCTACCACAGTTTCAGTAATAGTCCCAAGAGGGATTCTCAAGCCTAAATTATCTTGGGCACCTCCTCTAGAAGAACAGGAAGAAGCAGATTTTGAAAGCTATCTAACGATAAAAAACAACAACTATGAAGATGATTTTGAACAGCGCTATGCGCTGTGGGACAACATTTGAGGGTATTGTTTCCATTCCAAACAGAATTGCTCCATATCCACTCTGAGGTGCATTGATTTCTATGTTCCTTTGGTGGCTCTACCCCTTGAATTAAACAAGCAACATCCAACCTCTGCAGGCAGAGAAAACATTTACTCTAATAGAAGAGAATCTCACAACATGACACACTCAAACATCGTTTCAACTGGAAATATGAGCATCCTAGACCAAGCTAAATCCAAAAATGCTAGGGAACTCCTGGAAGCTTGGTGTTCAGACCAATCAGCCATCAATAGACACATAGTGAGAAGCCATATTTACATACCATTCCAAAGAGAAAATAAAAAGCTAAGAAGGGAATAAAAAACCCAGAACACATCCTTTCCAGCAACCAAAACCCAAAGAAGCAGGGATTAACACCAGCCAACACTCCAGAAGACAGGCTTAAGATACAGAAGGATCTGGACAGACTTGAACACTGGGCACTATCTAACAAAATGAAATTCAATGGTGAAAAAAGCAAGGTTCTACATTTAGGCAAGAAAAACCAAATGCACCAGTACAGCATAGGTGGCACCTTGCTCAATAGTAGTAACTGTGAGAGGGATCTCGGAGTCCTAGTGGACAATCACCTAAATATGAGCCAGCAGTGTGCTGCAGCTGCCAAAAAGGCCAACACAGTGCTAGACTGCATTAACAGAGGGATAGAATCAAGATCACATGAAGTGTTAATACCACTTTACAATGCCTTGGTAAGGCCACACTTGGAATACTGCATCCAGTTTTGGTCACCGCGATGTAAAAAAGATGCTGAGACTCTAGAAAGAGTACAGAGAAGAGCAACAAAGGTGATTAGGGGACTGGAGGCTAAAACCTATAAGGAACGGTTGCTGGAATTGGGTATGTCTAGTTTAATGAAGAGAAGGACGAGGGGGGACATGATAGCCGTGTTCCAATATCTCAGGGGCTGCCCCAAAGAAGAGGGAGTCAAGCTATTCTCCAAGGCGCCTGAAGGCAGGACGAGAAGCAACGGATGGAAACTAATCAAGGAGAGAAGCAACCTAGAACTAAGGAGAAACTTCCTGACAGTTAGAACAATTAATCAGTGGAACTACCTGCCTCCAGAAGCGGTGAATGCTCCAACACTGGAAGTTTTCAAGAAGAGACTGGACAGCCATTTGTCTGAAATGGTATAGGGGTTTCCTGCCTAAGCAGGGGGTTGGATTAGATGATCTCCAAGGTCCCTTCCAACTTTACTATTATTATTATAACAAGCAGAAAACAATGCCCCAATCAAGAAACTACTAAGGAGAAAAGCACACTCCTACCAACACTGGCATGGTAAGCTAATGGATGTAAACAGGGAACATTCTCTGCACTTACTAGGACTGATGACATTACCTACAGTAGTTGGGTAATGAAACATCTGCAAGCAAATAACCAAGAACTCCACAAAACACTGACAGCTTTTAGTAACTAACCCAACAATTGAGCTCACCTGTCATCATATGGGACAATGCCTCTCCCATCGATTTTTCGTGATGGTGTAAGGGACAGGATGCTTAGATTGTGCAGCTCAGTCAAAAAGTGCCTCTCTGTGATTAGGGAAGGGGTAGGAAAGCAGGCAAAAAAAAATACAGCGGTCAACATACACTGTGGTAGATTTGCTCATTGGTTGCAGCTCAACACAAATGAAGTTCCACTAAATGTCAATGAGATGTCTTCCTTAAATTAATCCACAAAGGATTGCAGCAGTAGCCACCAGAATTGTTGGAAGAATTAGGGAGACTCACATTGAAATCTTTATCCACCCTCAGTCTGTGAATCTGATTGGCTGACAAGTTACACCCTCACTCTATGCAATGAGTTCCACCCTCAATCTATGCATCTGATTGGCTGATGAGTTACACCCTCAATCTATGCATCTGAATTACACCCTCAAGCTATGCATCTGATTGGCTGATGAGTTCCACCCTCAATCCAGGCATCTGATTGGCTGATGAGTTCTACCCTCAAGCTATGCATCTGATTGGCTGATGAGTTACACCCTCAATCTATGCATCTGAATTACACCCTCAAGCTATGCATCTGATTGGCTGATGAGTTCCACCCTCAATCCAGGAATCTGATTGGCTGATGAGTTCTACCCTCAAGCTATGCATCTGATTGGCTGATGAGCTACACCCTCAATCTATGCAGATGAATTACACCCTCAAACTATGCATCTGATTGGCTGATGAGTTCCATCCTCAATCTATGCAGATGAGTTCCACCCTCAATCTACACATCTGATTGGCTGATGAGTTCCACCCTCAATCCAGGCCTCTGATTGGCTCCTCAAACTCACAAGAAAATAGAAAAGGGCATGGGAGAGAGGAGCTCATTCAAGGTATAAACATGCTTGAAATAAAAGAAATAAACTGGAAGAAATATTCCACATTGGAACAAATCAGTGAGTAATTATTTTTAATATTAATCTTTACTAGAAAAGCCAGGGTAAGAACATCTAGCTTCCCTTTCCCTCAATTATCGGAGCAGTACCAATGCCTCTGTTTAGAACAGTGGTTCTCAACCTTTTTAATGCCGCGACCCCCCAACCGGTCGTAAGTCGAGGACTAAACCGCTCGTAAGTCGAGGACTACCCAACCGCTCGTAACTCGAGGACTTTCCCTGACCGGGAGCGCCGCGCATGCGTGGTTCTGCCCCCTGCGCCGGCCGAGGCGTAGCTGGCAAGCGGCAGAGACGGAGCAGGCCGACCACCAGCTGGCCCAGCCCAAGGGAGGTAAGGCACCTGCCGGAAAAGGGGGAAAAAATGGCGGACAGCCTTGCTTGGCAACCCCCGTGAAATGGTCGATCGACCCCAAATGGGGTCGCGACCCATAGGTTGAGAACCGCTGGTTTAGAATCAGGGGTAGTCAACCTTGGCTCTTTTATGACTCGTGGACTTCAACTCCCAGAATTCCTGAGCCAGCTGTGCTGGCTCAGGAATTCTGGGAGTTGAAGTCCACGAGTCATAAAAGAGCCAAGGTTGACTACCCCTGGTTTAGATGATGCTGGTGGAAGTCCTCCATACATCATTTAAAAACCAGCATTCACATTTTTATCCATTTTCAAATATCATTACTGATTAAAATTCCTGCAGTGAAATCAGCCAAAAGGTGGGTCAGGTGTTTGCTTTAGGGGGGGAAAAAAAGCAAGAACTTCCCACCTCTCACATTAGAATCTTCTTCCATTCGATAAGCCGGCACTAAGACGTTCACTTCGCGGTGGCCTCGGTCCCAGAAATATTGCACGGCTAGGGCGATTCCTCGGCAGGAGAAGAACTGGTTCAGACCATGCCTGAGAAGAGAAAAGGTGGCACTTAGGTCTATGAAAATCAAAGATCGGGAACATGAAAAACTCAACTGAGTCACTCTGTGGGACACCCTCCGAATGATGGCGCAGGGGAGGGAAGAGACAGTGGGAATAGGAAGAACTCCGTGAAAAAAAGTTAAGGCAATTAGCATAAACCTATATCTTAAAGAATGGCCCACAAAATTGGAATAAGTCTATGCCTGTTATATCCTTTTCTCAGATTACCCATAACATAATTTAAGGGAGGTTTTAAAAGAGGAGGGGAGAGGATAGGAGAGGATAGGAGAGGATTGTGGATGGTGATTAGATTATTATTGGTGCTGTTTACATCTTCAAACTAAGCTAGAGACACACCAAGTCTCATACTAAGTCTCAAGCTATAGGGTATAATATAATAATAATAGTAAAGTTGGAAGGGACCTTGGAGGTCATCTAGTCCAACCCCCTGCTCAGGCAGGAAACCCTATACCATTTCGGACAAATGGCTGTCCAGTCTCTTCTTAAAAACTTCCAGTGTTGGAGCATTCACCACTTCTGGAGGCAGGTTGTTCCACTGGTTAAATTGTTCTAACTGTCAGGAAGTTTCTCCTTAGTTCTAGGTTGCTTCTCTCCTTGCTTAGTTTCCACCTGTTGCTTCTTGTCCTGCCTTCAGGCGCTTTGGAGAAGAGCTTGACTCCCTCTTCTTTGGGGCAGCCCCTGAGATATTGGAACACTGCTATCATGTCCCCCCTCGTCCTTCTCTTCATTAAACTAGACAGACCCAATTCCAGCAGCCTTTCCTTATATGCTTTGGCCTCCAGTCCCCTGATCATCTTTGTTTATATATAACATATATAAAAAGGATATAATCTGGTGCACACATTCATCCAAATTTTCTTTCTTTTTTTGGGGGGGGGGAGGCAAGTGAATTGACCTCGTCTCATTAGCAGTGACAACAGTTTACTCCTCAGCTACCCAGATTAACTGCAATGCTCTTCATAAAGCATGATTTGATACCATACCTTGAAAATACATTAAAATTACATGAATTCAAAGGAACATGATTAACTCGGATCCGAATTAGGGCAAATCTACTTCTAACTTCAATCCAAGGGAACAGAAGAAAACTTGGCCAGTAGAGAGAAATGGGATGCAGAAATTCTACTGCTTGTTTCACTGGAGTCTTCATGGAGGTCTCATTATGTTGTATGCAAACTCTTAAGATTTGCGTATCTCCTTTTCCTTTCTATGTTTGATGAAAAGAGTTAGCCTTGTCTTGAATGGAGACCAGAGCTGGGAGCATCAAAGCTAGGTGAAAATGCTGAGACAAGGAATGTGGGAACCAGCAATTTCCATGCTAGAAAGAATCACTGCACAAAACGTTACTGAAAGGTTCAGCTGATCCAGAATGCAGCCCCACGATTATATGGCAACTGATGAGATTTAAGAAGTATGTCTTCTCTGCCACAGTACTACAGTTTTGAAGACCTGGATCTTTCCCTAGGCTTGGATGGGTTGGGGACTCCCTTTGTGATAGGCTCTTGTATCTATTCCCTCAGTATAAACATCATCCTTGTCTACTGTTTGATATATTTCTATCACTCTGAGTTTCAATTTGTACGCATCCTAGAGTTGTTCAGAAATTGGGTAGTTTTAGAAAGCTGAATAATAATGTGAATTAACTAAATCAAAATAAAATAAAATAAAAACTGGCTGTGGAATTCTGAGTTGAAGTCCATATGTCTTAAAGTTGCCAAGGTTGAGAGTAGAGTAGAGTAGAGTAGAGTAGGGTAGGGTAGGGTAGGGTAGGGTAGGGTAGGGTAGGGTAGGGTAGGGTAGAGTAGAGTAGAGTAGAGTAGAGTAGATCGGAATAGAATAGAATAGAATAGAATAGAATAGAATAGAATAGAATAGAATAGAATCTGGAAGGGACTTTAGAGGATTTCTAGTCCAACCCCCTTTCAAGCAGGAGAACCTGACCTAGGACAGTGGCATTTTTAGTACCCATAGTATGAAAATCTCTTAAAAGATTAAGATCTTTTAAGAGATTTTCATACTATGGATACTAACACTTTCTGCCTTGGGGGCATTTCAAAGTTGTTTGTTGGCCTGCTTGAAAAATACAGCTAGCCCTTGATTTACAACCACAATTGAGCCCCAAATTTCTGTTGCTAAGCGAGACAGTTGAGTTTTGCCCCATTTTATGACCTTTCTTGCCACAGTGAATCACTGCAGTCGTTAAGTTAGTAAGACGGTTGTTAAGTGAATCTGGCATCTCCTTTGACTTTGACAGAAAGTTGCAAAATGTGGTCACATGAACCCCCCAGGACACGGCAACCGTCATAACTATGAACCAGTTGCCAAGAGTCTGAATTTTGATCATGTGACCATGAGGATGTTGCAACGGTCATAAGAGTGACCGTTGTAACTTTGAACGGTCACTAAATGACCTGTTTTAAGCCAAGTACTAGCAGTATTCTGAAAACTGAATATGATTTTGTGATTTAATGCAGAGCACTAGACAGTATTAGTGGCCAGCAATGTACCCCTGTAATCACATCTTACGGAAGAATGGAAGGGAAAAGTGGATGGAGGCTGTGGTAATAAAAATTAGATTGTACCCAGATTTTCTTCCCCAAACCCAACTCACATCATGGCCACGTTGCTACCATCAATAATGACCATCCGCAAATTCTTCTTCCCAGGTGTGTTGGCCAACTTGAGTTTGAACTCAGTCTGGAGAGCCTCCTCAAAGCGCTGAGCTCCAGTTACCGTAGAAACAGAACCCTGCTGAAGAGCGTCCATGTTGGTGCTTTCTGTTGACTGGGTCCCCTCAGAATCCGATAGGGAGGACAAAAAACTAGCAATAGGAGAAGTAATAGGCAACAAACTGGGAACTCCAGGGTTACTTATTGAAACATGGACACCCTTGTGATTCGAAAGTGTACCATTCCACCTTTCCTCCGGATGAGTCCTTTGGTGAGAAGATTCCCCATGATTCAAAATGGTTGCCCTCTGGATGCCAAGCTGACCTCCATGTTCTGGCTTGGTTGATGACCCCCCTATTGCACTCTCGCCTTCATCTTGGTATTTCCCTTTCTCATTTAGCTGCCTCAGGAGACTTGCTAATGGGGCTCCTGTTTGTATTTCTGTGGGGATCTTGCTGGGGCAATGGCCGCAGTTGACCACTGCTGTTTTGATCAGTTCCTTGACATAATTGTTTTCATCATAAGTGTCTTCCAGAGACAAAGCAGCGAGACCTCGCCGTTGGGATGGGGAGATGTCTTCTTTTTGAGACAAGCCTGCCTCCATCATCTGGACTCTATCCAAGATGGTCGAAGGGGCTTCCTGAACTCCACCCTCCAATAATATCTTTTTGACCACACACTCCTCATAGCCCATAGTTTTAAAGAAGTTTAGCCTCATTTTGAACTCTTTTTCAGACCACGATGACAGCAAAATGTCTGATGTTGCCTCCTCCTCAGTGGTTTCCTCAGGCAAACTAACAGAGCATGATTCTGTTGCCCAAAGGGGATTCTTTTCTTCTGCTTGATGATCCTCCAAGCTTTCTGTGAGGCCTTTGTATCCAGGTAGAATCTGAAGCTCAGAGGTAGCTGGAATCAGTTTAGGAGAACTCTTGGGAAGCCCAGAATTCTTAGTGGTCATTGCCTCCAGCCATTGTCGAGGACCATTCAAGTCAGACAGATGTTCCTGTGGCTTAGTGTGCAATTTGGCCTCATCAGAATGTCTTGAAAAGTCATCCCGTGGGACATGAAGATGTTTTTGGTCTTGAGGTTTTGCATCCACAATAGGCAAGTCCATCCCAGCATCCCAAGGCCTGTCTGAGTACGGTAGTTGCATCAAATCTTCAGCTTTGTGAAAAGATTCTTGTGCCGTGGTAAATTCCACAGGCCAGTCAGGGCCGGAGTCTCTAGTTCTACTCTGTCCCTGGACTCGACTGAGCTCTGCATGTATGCCAAAGACAGGCTGAGGCCTATCTGGAGACCCAGATCCGCCACTATTCGCAACGTTGGCTTCCCACCCCAATGAACAATCTCTCCCAAAACCAGATGGTATCCTATAGCCATTCCTTTGCCCCTCCTCTGTGTCTTCTTCCTTTATCTCCTTGACCAAATTAAGCAATTCCTCTTTGACTGAGGTGGGCAAGATCAAAAGATCCATGGCATGTTTGTCATCATAATTCTCCACCAATTCCCGGAAGGACCGTTTGACCTGAGCTTCCTGTTCTTCTGGCAGCTTAGGGTTCTTCTGGTGTTTCCCCACAAACTCCTGGATCCGGCTCTGAGCCATGACAAAAGCTTCTGCCAACCCTGAGATCAACAGGGTGCCCGGATGGAGAAAGGTGAGGTTCGCAGAGGTCCCCCGAATGAGGCAGTCCATAAATAATCCATGGGCACCTAAGAAGATGCACTGCATGTCTTTCGGATACTGTACTTCGTCCTGAAGCTCTGGGGCACAAAGACCTTTGATGTATTCCTGAAAAACATAGGAAGATGCAATATGGTCATTCTCTAGATCAGGGCCGTCAAACTCAATTGCATTGAGGGCCGCATCAGCATTGCGGTTGCCCTCAGGGGGCCAGATGGGTGTGGCCAGGGTGGGTGCGGCCTACTGGGTGGGCGTGGATGGAGTGGGTGTGGCCTACTGGGTGGGCGTGGCCAGATCTACATCGTTCGCGCCAAAGGTGCCTGTGGTAGCCTGGGCAGGAATGGGACAGATCTGAGGGTCTTTGGCAGAAGGGGGTGGGACCAGGGCAAGGGCCAAGGCATGGTCCACTGGAGGAGCCTCTGTTCCTCTCAGGCCATGCGGGGGGGGGGCTGGATGCTGGTGCGGGCTGCCCGGAGCCCTGGGCAGCAGAGGTCAAACGCCCAGCCTGGCCCTCGAGCACCCGCAGCCCCAAGCCCAGCCCCACTTCCCCAAGGGGGCGCCCAGCTGCACTTACTTCCTCCTCAAGGCTGCTGCTGCTGTGCTTGCTCTCCTTAGCCAGGTTGCTCATGGTGGGTACAAGGGCAAAGTCAGAGGGAGGCCCATTCCCTCTCCATGGGAGGAGACCCGGCTTTGTATCCAAAGCTTTCTTAGCAATAGGATGGGAGACCCCCAGGATAGTCCAGGAGGAGGGGGCAAGGGGATGGTGAAAGGGCAGCAGGGCAGGACTAAGGTAGGACTTCCCTCAGACCCTCCCTCTCCTTCTTTCCTTCCTTCTTTCCTAAGTACAGAGTGGTGGGAAAATATTTGAGATGAGGGGAGAAAAACAGGCAAGAAACGCAGCTGGGGAGGTGTCACCTCCCCAGCATGCACCCAGGAAGCGGGGCCGACACGGCAGGGGCTGGTTCCTCGCTGTTTCCAGACAGCCTTATGGAGCTAAGACTGAATGCGTTTCAGCATAGATGGCCACCACAAAATTGTACATTGGCTCCCTCCCGGCCAGCCTGGGCCAGGGCCAAGGCAGCGGGGGCCATTCCCTCACTGTTTCCAGGATGGCTTCGCGGGCCACATGAAACCACTTTGCGGGCCGCATCCGGCCCCCGGGCCTTGTGTTTGACATGTCTGCTCTAGGTAGGTAGGTAGAGATAGAGATAGACAGTGCTTTTTTTGTAAAAAGAAAAGGTGCCGGAACTCACACATGTCATACAACCCGCCTTGCCTGCCCTACAAGGTTCCATCCAAAAAAGGTGCCAGAACTCTGTTCTGGGCGTTCTATGACAAAAAAAAGCCCTGGAGATAGAGATATGGCATAATATGAGTTGCTATGGGCCAATTCTGTAGTTTGGGTTCATAAGCACATGTATAACCTATGTAATTGTATTATTTCTTGGGTTTGCTAAAACTTGGCATAGTAATAGCTCACAGCACTACTATTTTTCTTCCGCTTTGAATCACGTAGTTAAATAAACCATTATATTTATGCTATATAAGCACCTTCATAATATATGTAATTATATATTATATAATAATAATTCTGGAGGTGGGTGCTAGATTTATAGCAGATGCCACCTCCTCCCCCCCACGCCGTTCTCTGCTCCCCACTCGTCCAATTTTTTTTTATTAATCATATTGATGTATTTTCTTTGGTTCTCCCCATGGCAAGATAGCTGGAAGAAGTAAGGAGGGGAGAAGGAGAAGGGAAGAGGAGGAAAAGGAAAAGGAAGAGGAAGGAGGAGTAGGAAGAAGAGGAAGAAGGAAGTAGGAAAAAGAATCTATAACAGCATCAAACAGTCACATATGCCTATCCCAGATCCATGGAAAGGATTCGATAAGTGGACAAAAATGCCAAATACAGTCTGAACAACTGGCTGACTGTGCAATGAAGTAAAATAATAACAACAACAATAAGAATAACAACAATAAGAACAATAATAGTTTCCAAGCCAAGCTTTGAATCTATTAGTAAGTATTGTTTCAGCTACTTTAAATAAGCTATATTCACTTAAAATATTTTGGGCAACTAAGAGGGAAAAAAAAGCATTGAAAGATAAAAGTGGCCGCTGACTTGTGCAGGGATCTTAAGAATCCTTGCATAAGCCAATTTTAGTCCACACTGGACTGCACAGAATTACAAAGTACAGCATTATGTAAATAAGGAACTGCCTATGTTTATACAGCAAAGATAAGGCAAATGATGTAACTAAGGAAATACAGCAAATCAAATTTAGAACATTGGAAATCCCTCTATTTCTTTCCACAAAATGCTCACTAAACAGTTTTTGCACCCTTTTCCTGCTTTTTCATGAGGCAACTGGACTTTCTTGTTTTTCTTTGAAGACATTTCGCTTCTCATCCAAGAAGCTTCTTCATCTCTGACTGGATGGTGGGGGAATGGAAATATTTATACTCCTCACAGACAGCTAGTCATTTGCCTTCTTTTAGAGAATCACTGAGGCCATTTGGAGGTTTACCTATGTCCTCAGGGTCTCCTGAGTAGTGCAAATGTGTGGAGCCTTCTTGGCTACAGGATGTTTTTTCTTCCATTTCCCCACCATCCAGTCAGAGCTGAAGAAGCTTCTTGGATGAGAAGCGAAACGTCTTCAAAGAAAAACAAGAAGGTCCAGTTGCCTCGTGAAAAAGCATTTTTGGGATAACTATGTCCTGGATGACTGAGAATCTCCATAGACATTTCCTGAAAAAGTAAAATGAAAATTGTTCAATCTGAAGACATACACCTTTGGTGAAGCAGATTAGAAACTATGCTAAATTTTGAGGGTACGATTCTCACCTGCTTGCCAAGGATGACGTCTCTTGGAATTAAATGAGATTTATTTCTAAGTAGGCCAGTATAAGACACCCTGTTAATTAAGCTAGAGAATTAATCCACCTTGGCCTTTCACATTAAACATTTCATCCCAAATTTGGAGAAAAACACACCAATCAGTATTGTCCCAAAGGTACTTCTCAAAAGGAAACTGGACTTTCTTGGGGTTTTTTTTCCCCCATGAAAACGTTTCGCTTCTAATCCAAGAAGCTTCTTCGGTTCTGACTGAATGGATCTGTTCTCTTGTGCTGTGCCATGCGTTTGTGAAGTGGCTGTTTTGTTTCTCCAGTATTAAAGATCTGAATGTCTCACTGTTCTACACAGCAGAAGAAAACCATCAGGACAAGATTCAGCAGTCATTTTATCTGAAAGTCAAAGGTCACTCTTTTGAAGATAGCAAAGTTCACATTCTGGACAAAGAGGACCACTGGTTTGAAAGAGGGGTCAAAGAGGCCATCTACATTAAAATTGAATAGCCCTCTCTCAACAGTCTACACCACCGATATCTCCTGTCTACAATACAGTCCTTTCAGCAGATTCCTCTCCCATTTGCACTCTGATTCGGATAACCCTGAGGTGACACTTAAACCCCAAGTGGCCTCAACAACTCTCAGAGTGCTAACAACCAGATGGCTACCAAGAATATAAATCCTTCCATTCCACACCATTCAGTCAGAACTGAAGAAGCTTCTTGGATGAGAAGTGAAATGTTTTCAAGAAAAAAACAAAACAAGAAAGCCCACTTGCCTTTTGAAAAGCACCTTTGGGACAACCATGACTTGGATGATTGAGAATCTCCATAGATATCAACCAGTATTATTGCCACAATGAGTAAGGCTTCTTCTCCATTCCAGCATGGGATGGTGCTTCAAGATCTGATTCTAGAGAAAAGAGTTTACCGTGATGAGGATAGAACATAGCATCTTTAACCTGCCCCTCTAAAAAAACGGGGGATAATTTAGAGAGAGGTATAGAGGGTGCATCTGTTGAACCCTCAATGTTTTCAACAGAGGAACAAGTTCAGAAAAGCCAAAGAGAAGAATCTCAACTCCTGGCACCTTTCTAGGCCTGTTCATTCAATTGCCAACAATCCAAAAGTCATCAGCTATTACCCTTGTTCCAACTGTTTTTTGAGATCATGTGATGATTGTTCTGTTGCTGTTCTGCTCTGTTATGTAAGGTAGAAGCCTTAAGGAGGAATCGCCTTCGACTCAGCCTCAATTCATAGTGACTTCAAGGCTGAGGACAAGTCATTTTCTGCCATTCGGAAACAAATTTTCCTGGCCACCTGGAGGTATATAGGTACCGTGTTTCCCTGAAAATAAGACCCGGTCTTTTTTTTTTTTTTCCCCTCCCAAAGAGGGATCAGGTCTTATTTTCGAGATGGTGTCTTTTCCATGGTCTCACCTCGCATGCATCGCCCCCAGCCTCCATTTCACCATCAGAGGCCTAGGGGTATTTTAAAGGGGTTTTAAATTAAATTTTTAGTAGAAGCGGCCAAATTTAAATAGTTATTTTTAATCTTTTTAAAGTTTGTATTGTATTATATCATTGTTTTAAACTGGCTGTAAGCCGCCCTGAGTCCTCCGGGAGAAGGGCGGGGTATAAATTTAATAAAATCTAAAATCTAAATCTAAATCTGTGCCATCCGAGAACCGAGCTACAGTTCTCGGCTGCAGAGGCCTTTCTGGAAGGCCTCTGAAAGCAAAATGGAGGCCGAGGGCGACTCGTGTGAGGTGAGACTGTGAAAAAGACACCCCCCACCCAAAAAAATAAGTCCCAATGCCTCTTTTGGAAGGCAAAAAAAAAAAAAAAAAGACCTGGTGTTATTTTCAAGGAAATAAGGTACCTATATACCTCCAGGTGGCCAGGGAAATTTGTTTCCGAATGGCAAAAAAGAGAAGACCGTAGATAACTTGCTTTATGGGAATTAATTTGGATTGAGGATCAAAGAGTTTGCCTGACCTTTGCACTATGAAGATTCTCTTGGCTTCCTTGTAACTGCAACCAGATCTTCCTTGCTCCTTTGGGGTCTGATCCCAGCACCCCCACGACATTCAGCTCCACCCGAAAGAGGCGTTCAATTTGGGGACGGTGTTCCATCAACATATCCTGGGCCTCCTCGGGCACCGCAAATTCATCCAGGATCCTGTTGTTCGGCATGATGGGAGCTTGTATCTGCCAGCCACTGAAGACCTGGGTTGTTATGTAGCTAAAAAGCTGCAGGGAAGAGAAACCAGCCTGATTGAAAGGGCTGTGGTTGAGAGATAAAAGCAAAGTGAAAACATGCCATCGCTTAAAGCTTTCCAGTCCCTGAGTAACCGTGAACTATCAACATTTGCCTATCCCGCAACCTTGGGAAGGACTCAGTAGGATGATAAAAGTGCTAAATCCAGTCCAAACATCCGACTGACTTTGCAAAACACCCCTAATAATGTTCAGCATTGGCTCAAGGTTGACTCAGCCTTCCATCCTTCCAAGGTCGGTAAAATGAGGACCCAGATTGTTGGGGGGCAATATGCTGACTCTGTAAACCCCTTAGAGAGGGCTGTAAAGCACAATGAAGCAGTATATAAGTCTAAGTGCTATTGTTATTCAAGGTCACATGCTGAAAAAAGAAAAGAAGGGGGACTTAGAATGGAGGAGGTGGCAATATTCAGAACAGCTGACCGGGGTGCCCCCTCCTATAAGAATGCATTGATTTTTCTCTCCCTCTATTTGCAAACTGCAACTGGATTCAGACTATTTACAAACGCCAGCTTATGCAGTGATAAGGTACTCATGTGAAATAAAGCTGCGCTTATTATAAAAATTATAAAAAGTCTGCAACAGTGCTGACCTGCAACCCTTATTTGTATGAAATGGTGTAGGACAGGGGTGTCAAACTGCAGGCCCATGGGCCAGATGCGTCATGCCAAAACCACACCCACCCCAGCTCCAGCAATGGGGGAAAAGTCACGATACGTCGCGACACGTCATGTGACGTGGCGAGTTTGATACCCCTGGTGTAAGAAATGAGAAAAAAAATTCTGTAGAAATCAAATTACAGATCTTTCCCACATGCATAATCTAAGCACTTGACTTTATCCAAATCAGGTGTGTCCAACACACAGCCCGTGGGCTGCATGTGGCCCCAGAGAGCTTGCAATGCGGCCCCACAATAATTTTAAACTTATTATATTATTTCTATCCATTAACTATATTAGATATTTTATATGCAGCCCAAGACAAGCAAAGAGGTTGGACATCCATGATCTAATGTTAAGCTTGAAGAAATAAGTTTCTATTCCCCAGAGCCTACATAATGCTGATCTCACTCTCCAGGAAGAGGGAGGGGAAAAAGGCTTGACTTCAAAGACAAATACAATAATTATGTCATACAGGCAGTACACAACTTACAACAGTTCATTTAGTGTCCGTTCAAAGTTACAACGGCACTGAAAAAACTTATGACCGTTTTTTCACAGTTACGACCTTTGCTGCATTCCCCATGATCACGTGATCAAAATTCAGACGCTTGGCCACTGGTTCATATTTATGACCATTGCTGTGTCCCAAGGTCATGTGATCACCTTTTTGTGACCTTCTTACAGGCAAAGTCAATGGGGAGACCAGATTCTCTTAACAACTGGGTTACTAACTTATTAGCTGAAGTGATTCACTTAATAACTGTGGCAGGAAAGGTGGTAAAATGGGGCAAAACTCACATAACAAATGTCTCACTTAACAACAGAAATTTTAGGCACAATTGTGGTCCTAAGCCAAGGACTACCTATGTTAGTAATAGCAAAGTACAGGAAAGGATACAGGAATAAAAGCATTGACAGGGCCACCACGAAGTAATCCTTAAAGCACAGAATCAGATTTAAAGCCCCTGCCAGAGACTTTGAACCAATTGTTTTCGCTCATGCCAACCTCTCTCACGGACTAGTTTTCTTAAGTTTAAAAATATGGTATTTGTCAGATTTATTATCCTGCCTTTCCTTAGAGAGATCAAGGAGAAGTCAGGCTCCGTGTCTCAGTTCAACAGGGGGTGTAAAAGTTTAAAAGATCAGCGGATGTAAAAGGAAAGCAAATGTAAACACCAAAGGCCACTTTCAATTCAGAGAATAGAGTTGGAAGAGACCTTGGAGGTCTTCTGGTGCAATTCATGGTAGCAGAAGGATCCACGGAGGAGAGCTGCTGTTCATCCCACTGGATTGGGAACCTACCCAGACTGTGGGACGGAGGAACTCCTGGCAACTGGAGCCTAAAAGGCCAGGAAATACAAACCGGCCACTTCCATGTCAAGGGGATTTCTCACTATTTTCATACTGCTTCTCCAGTGTGGAAAAATGAAAGGAGGAACAAAAAAGTTGACTCTGTGTTTGTTTTCACCAAAGGACAGAACATAAATATCCCAGAACAAAAGTCAGTCAGTCCGAAGGCTAGACTGGAGGCTAAAGCATATAAGGAACGGCTGCTGGAATTGGGTATGTCTAGTTTAATGAAGAGAAGGACGAGGGGGGACATGATAGCAGTGTTCCAATATCTCAGGGGTTGCCATAAAGAAGAGGGAGTCAAGCTATTTTCCAAAGCACCTGGAGGCAGGACAAGAAGCAACGGGTGGAAACTGATCAAGGAGAGAAGCAACCTAGAACTAAGGAGAAACTTCCTGACAGTGAGAACAATTAACCAGTGGAACAACCTGCCTCCAGAAGCAGTGAATGCTCCAACACTGGAAGTTTTTAAGAAGAGACTGGACAGCCATTTGTCCAAAATGGTATAGGGTTTCCTGCCTGAGCGGGGGGGTTGGACTAGATGACCTCCAAGGTTCCTTCCAACTATTATTATTATTATTATTATTATTATTATTATTATTATTATTATTATTATTATTATTATTATTATTATTATTAACCTTTATTGTCATTTTTTACTGTGGGCACAACGGCACACATCAAAAATGAAATTTAGTTGCCTGCTCTCAAAGTGAAACACATACATGACACACACCTAAAACATACTATATACAACATATGTATATGACATATGCAACATACAAGGTAGATTAGGTAAGTAGGGTAAGTTAGGTAAATAGATTAGGGTAGGTAGATAAGCCATTTGTCCGAAATGGTATAGGGTTTCCTGCCTGAGCAGGGGGTTGGACTAGATGACCTTCAAGGCCCCTTCCAACTTTACTATTATTATTATTAAATAGGACTCTCTCACCAGAGAGGGGGAACCAGCGTCCCAAAAGCAAAGCTTCAAAAAGAAAACAACAACGAGAGAAAACGACAACCAGAGGATCCTTCACAACCAACAATCTCTTGGCAAACAAGTCTTGGCTAACGATGTGCCCACCTCCACTTTTTGCGGGGAAGGGAGGGGGGCATTTCCCTTCCCTTCCCCACCGATCTGACCGAAGAGACCCCCTCGTGCCCCAAACATACCCCCCGAGTCATCCAGTTCTCCTTTCGTCCTCGGGATCGCCAACCCGGCGCCCCCGAGATCCCCCCCCCCACTCCACGAGCCAGTGGGCAGTTGGAGAGGGGAGCTCCACCGCTCGCGATCCTGCCCATGTCGCCGCCCCGATGACCTGGGGGGGGATGGGGAACTGCCCAAGCGCCCCCCTCCCACCAGCCCAATACGACCGCCCTTTCCCCATTTACGAGGAAAGGGGAGAGAATTGAAGTCCCCGAAAGAGACGCGCTCCCAGACCGTGCGCTCTGCGGGCTCCGCCGGGCGCCTTACCCGCTGGAGTCGCCGAAGGAGCCCCCACACCGCCGAGGACCCCCAATTCATCAGTTCCCATTGCTGCTGCTGCTGCTTCCGCGCTGGTTTTTGGAGGGGGGGAGAAGGGGGGACGCTGTTTCCTCTGCCCGGACGCCTCCCGCGAGGAACTCCCCCAAAACTCAAGCCTTTGCGCTCAAGGTTCAACTTCCATTTTAGAGCCAAGCGGAAGCGCCCGACTGCTTATGCAGAGCCGGAGTTTCCCAGCTGGGCGGCGCATCTCGGGGAGGGAAAGAAGGTGGCTGTGCCCTGGCCCGCTTCCTGTGCGGCGGTAACTTCCTGCCCTGGCAACGAAGATAGCGGTTTCTGAACATGAACAGAGTGCCGCTTCTCTCTCTCTCTCTCTCTCTCTCTCTCCTTTTGCAAAGGTGCATGTTTTTCTCGGCGCCCAATGCATCTGGCAAAATGTTATTATAACTCATTCAGAAATTATTTGATTGCCCAAATTGTCTGCCTGCCCCTCTCTCTCTCTTCTCCTCTCTCTCTATATATATATGTACTAATCAAGGAGAGAAGCAACCTAGAACTAAGAAAAAATTTCCTGACAGAAAAATTAATCAGTGGAATGATTTGCCTCTAGAAGTTGTGAATGCTCTAAAACTGGAAGTTTTTAAGGTGAGATTGGACAACCATTTGTCTGACATGGTATAGAGTTTTCTGCCTGAACAGGAGATTGGGCTAGAAGACCTCCAAGGTCCCTTCCAACTCTGATTCTATCCTATCCTATCCACCTGTCATCTATTATGCCTGTCTACCCACCCATCATCTAGAGCAGTGGTTCTCAACCTTTTTAATGCAGCGACCCCCAACCGGTAGTAAGTCGAGGACTAAACCAGTCGTAAGTCGAGGACTAAACTGGTCATAAGTCGAGGACTACCCAACAGGTCGTAAGTCGAGGACTTTCCCTGCCCGGGAGCGCTGCGCATGCGTGGTTCTGCCCCCTGCACCGGCCGAGGCGTAGCTGGCAAGCGGCAGAGACGGAGCAGGCCGACCACCAGCTGGCCCAGCCCAAGGGACGTAAGGCACCCGCCGGAAAAGGGCAAAAAAATGGCGGACAGCCTTGCTTGGCAACCCCCGTGAAATGGTCGATCGACCCCAAATGGGGTCCCGACCCACAGGTTGAGAACCACTGATCTAGAGAGAGAGAGAGAGAGACAGACTCCGGGAAAAGGATGAATCGAGTAACTAGTTAAAAACTGGGCAAACAAAGTCTATAGGTAGAATGCGCAAAAGTATGTTGTATGTGTATAGGACAGGGGTAGGCAACCTCGGCTCTTTTATGACTCATGGACTTCAACTCCCAGAATTCTTCAACTCATTATGACCATGAGTCATAAAAGAGCCGAGGTTGCCTACCCCTGGTATAGGATTAGGATACCCGCTCACGTGCC